ACACACACACACACACACACACACACACACACACACACACACACACACACAAACACACACACACACACACACACACACTCACTCACTCACTCACTCACTCACTCACAATCAAGCAAACCCCTTTTTTGAAGTTTTTTCTTTATTTATTTTCAAATTTTGCATCTGCATTTTTTGGAACACCTCATACCCCTGCAAAAAACAGAAATTCATTTCTAAAAAAATACAGATGAACTCAGGGACCATATATCTCATGATAAAAAATGGAAAAAAAAATTCCAGCTGTTCTTTATTTTATTTTTGTTTTTTTCTTTAAATCGAATTTAGTTTTTGATTTTTTTTAAATCCTAAACAAAGTTGGATTCCAAAAAAACAAATATGGGGTTGTAGGGCTTAAAATTCCCTACAACCCCATATTTTTGTTCTTTTTTTTAACCTATTGTTTAATTCAGGAAAATTCTGGTAAAATAGGGTCCGCGGCGCGGACCAGGTCGGCCGCGGAAGCGGCCCCATCTGCGTCCGCCATCATCTGCGTCCGCCATCCGAGATCGGACCCCGCGGGTGTTTCATAGCTGGACAGAGCGCCCTTTTTTTTTTCTTTTTTTTTTCTTACGGAAAGGGGCTGACCCGGGGGTCAGTACTGTGAGGGATATGAGCGGGCCCCCACTAGTGCCCCTTACCGCAGGTAGCTCCTATCTATTGGTGGGGAGCAGCACCTGCTGGAAACCAGGCCCAGCATCCCTTCTGAAGTACGTTTGGAACATAGTCCGGAAACAGGACAAAGCACACACGGAGAATGACCCATGGTTACTCAAGGGGGCAACTGGGGGAGCCTTTCAGCCCATTATAATATATCCCTCCCAAACCAGCTGAGACTGGGACCCCACTGCAGTGCAGCATTTGGCCACGGCCCACGAGAAGAGGGCAAGTCATTTTTGGAAAGTTGGAAAGTATCTTTTCTGGGACCGCATCGCAGAGTACGTTTTGCGGCAAAGCTTTCTTTTTTTTCCGTAAGAGGAAAGGTCCGTGGGTAGTGACCTCGGGTGTCCAGGAGGCCGTGGCTGGACCTGACGAACCGGCCGTGGCATGGGTTGTGGGTGACACAGGGTGGACGATACATGGCGGGACACTCGATGGTCCGACAATGGGACCTGACCTTGGAAAACACGGTCATCCTCTACTTCCAGCACAATTTCGCGGCGGAATCTCCTCCCGACAGGCTACAGCCTTTTCCAGACCGCAGATGATGTGAAAACGTCGACACTCCATCTCCCGGGCCACAAAATGTGGGCTGTGGGGTCCCGGAAAACTGTCTTCGGAAGACATTTCGGCTTTTCCAGAACCTTTTTCCACGGGGTGTGGGGTCGCAGAAACATTTCTGCAGCAAACTTTTTCCTTCCCACATTCCTGTGGGGTCCCAGCTTGAGTCAATTCCACAAGGGCTCCTTCCTGTACAGGGAACTGAGGGAAGGGATCAGGAAATCCTGCAGGCGGCTTCAATGGGGTAGACGGGTCAATTTCATTCAAGTGGAGCAATTCTACTTCATATTTTTCCTGCAGCCGCTAAATGGCCCGGGTATTGGTGGTTTCAACCACCAGTACCTGGCCCAGCTATCGAGTCCGAGCCTCGGCCGACCGGTACGCCAAACCGTGCCGAGGCTGGGACTACCGGGCGCAGGCATCCCGAACGTCGATGTGAAGCCGACGGAAAAAACGGGGAAAAAAAACAAAAAACAAAAAAGAAATAAGAAAAATAAACGGGTTCATCCCCGCTTTCAACTGAAAGTCGCACACAGAGAGAGAGACACAGAGAGAGAGAGAGAGAGAGAGAGAGAGAGAGAGAGAGAGAGAGAGAGAGAGAGAGAGACGGCGACTTTCAGTTTCTCTCTCTCTC